GGAATGCCTTAAGCCGAAAAAGCCGGTTTGTGGCGTCTGCCGCAGTACCCTGTCGCCTGGCAGCAGAGCTCTGGACTTGGAAAAGCAAATTGAAACGACAGAAACCGCTTGCAATGGCTGCAATAAGAAAGTATGAAAGTATTTGGAAATTAAGTGCATGAAGTGTGCCTGCTTGGCCATGCTGCTTAGAGGGAAATAAAGTGCTTGCTCTTCAGCTTCCTGCAGAATCATGTCAAAACGTTCGTTCTGATAGGCGCCTAAGATATTTTATATAGGCAGAACCCAAGTGTTGACATTTTTTTTTCCACAGTGTTTTTTTTTTTTGTTACTTCTTCAGGAAGTGAATTTCAAATGAAAGATACTGATTTTAAAATTAAAGTAAAATATTGCTTCTGAAGCTGCTTGTGTGAACGTGCTTCTGTGGGAGGAACATTGTAATGAAACAGCGGATGTGGGCTTTAGGTAGAATCATAGAATTATATATATTATTTATATAGCGATCTCTTTGGCTCTTGAACAGAGATATTTTTGCTTTGTTTGAAATAGTTATGAGTCAAAGTTGTCTTGTATGGGTGGTGTATTCCACGGACTTGCTGTTTGCTGGTGTCCTGCATGTTGAATACCTGTATGGCATCCTTCCTGTCATTCACTTTCTCTTTGTAAAGTTGGTCGTCTTAGCATTAATTGGATGTATGAGAAAATATCTTAGCAGATGGCAAAACATCAGGAAAAGGATAATTAGACACACTAAGGTGAGGGCAATAGTTCGATTCATTTCACTTTTTGTTTCTGGGTGGTATCTTTACTCTGTCTTTATTCCAGGTGATAGAAGACTGTAGTGCCTTGAATTACAGATTTCCTTATTGTAAATTTGAATTTCCATTAGTGGGATTGAACAATTAGCAATTGATATACACCAAGATCTGTACTAAAAGCCAGATTGTTTTCCATATACTGTCTCTTCTTCCTCCTCAGTGACCAGGTAAACTGGCTTTATGTGAAGCATTTTTTAATATATATACTATAGTATAGGTTAAGAGAAGTGAGCTGTCCTGAAGAGTGTTGTGTCTGTAAAATATTACAGGCTGCAAAGTTACAGGTTAACTAATCTGTATTCTCAAAGCTTTCCGCCTTGCCAGAGAAAGTGTTTGGGTTTTCCTGCTTTAACACTATCTGCAGAAGGCTACTTTGTTTTACATGTTTACTACCACTGCTTAAAACTGTGGAAGTTTAAATTAACCTTGCTATGCACTTGTTGCCTGCACAGATGTATCTCTCAAAGATGCGTAGCCATGCAGCTTCTTGTCCAAAATACCAGAATTACATCATGGAAGGTGTGAAAGCTGTAACTAAAGAACCACTTCACAACAGCAGGTAACTACCTCTTCTCTGGAAATACTTGTCCCTTTTTGTCACCAGAACAGGGCTGTTACTGATTAATCATTATAAAAATCTCAATTTTGCTTCTTCTGTGCCATTTTATCTTTAAAAAATGTAACTGCATTATGGGGTTTCATGCGAACTGTAGCATTTTGGAGTAATAGCAGACCTTACCTCTTTGCTCAGTTTGGGTATTAATTGCTTTAATCCTTTCACATTGTTAAAAACTAAGCTTTAACACTGCATCTTGTCCTGGTTTCCTCTGGGATAGAGTTAATTTTCTTACTAGCAGCTGGTATAATTCTGTGTTTTGGATTTAGGATGAGAATGTTGATAATGCACGAATGGTTTTAGTTGTTGCTAGGCAGTCAAGGACTTTTTCAGATTCCAGTAGAAGCTGAGAGGGAGCATAGACAGGGCAACCGGCCCAAGCTGACCAAAGGAATATTCCGTACCATAAATGTCATGCTCAGTATATAAATGGGGGCTGGCCAGGGGGCGGGGATCCGCTATCGCTGGGCAACTGATCATCAGGCGCTGAGCAATTGCATTGCATCACTCATCTTGTGTATTTTTACCATCACTATTATTATTTTATTTTCCGTTACTGTTCTATTAAACTCTCTTTATCTCAACCATGAGGTTTTTTCCTTTTTCTCCTTCTTCTCCCTGTCCCGCTGGGGGGTGGTGGGGTGGTGAGTGAACGGCTGTGTGGTCCTAGTTGCCGGCTGGGTTTAAACCGTAACAATCTGACTGTGTACAGGCAAGCTGTGCTGCTTTCTGCATAGTCCGTGCACTAGACATCTTAAAGATCAGGGTACTCAGTAAAAGTAGCTATTTTTAAATAAAATCTTTTCTCTTTCTGTCTCTTGATTCAAGTAACTTACAATGAAGGGAAGTTGGAATCGATTGCAGTGTGCTCACCTGCATTGTGGCATACTGGGTGGTACACTGTGCTTTAAAAAAAAAAAAAGATAAATGGCATTTATAACATTTGTAGAAGAGCTCTCATTCTGTGTAAATATGGATGATATTAAGAGTTCCTTAAGCTGTTGTTTGGAATTAAAAAGCTGATTGTTAAAATTTGCTTGTCTTAATTGCATAGAATAAGCTTGTTGCTTTAAATTATTTCTATTCTTAAGAGCTGGTAAGATAACTTTTGAGTATTGAATCCTAAAGATTTTACTTTTACATTTCTTACAATATGTCACCTCTTTTTCTCCTCCCAACCAGGAACTTCCCAAATCGCTTTACCTTTCCTTGTCCGTATTGCAGCGAGAAAAACTTTGATCAAGAAGGACTAGTTGAACACTGCAAAACATTGCACAGCATGGATGCAAAACAAGTGGTAATAAAAAGTCTTGGTGCAAGAATTGCAATGAAGTCTAGTCTTAAATGCCTTTGAAACAATGAATTAGAGACTTACTCTTGAAGTTAAGTACATATTTATAATTACTCCTGTTAAAGTCAAATGTGGGTATGCTGTTTGTGCATTTAACTTTTATAGAATTTCGATGTTGGTTTTCGATACATTCTCTGGAATGATTAGTGTCTATTCCTGTTGCAGCCAGGTCACATACTCCTTTCATATTTGAAAAATGGCAGACGTTCAAAGTTAATTAGGCACAGTAACAAACAGAAAATGAATAAGATACAATTAAAAAAAAAAAAAGTCAGGGGTTTAATTTTCCCCTCTGCTGTTTTCAGCAAGAAGATATTATAAACCATTAGGAAAAATGCTTGCAAAAAAGAGTGTGTAATTCTAATACTCTTTACCTGCTGGTACTGCCTGTCATATAAAAGGAATTGCAAAACATGGAACTGAATGTGAAACTTTCATTTTTCTGGAAAGTTTTTTGAAATTCCAAATTGTTTAGAAAAAAAGTTCCTTTTTCCCCTTGGGGAGAATGATCTTTGCAAGAGAGATCAAGGAAACTTTTCTGTTACTGACAAATAAAGGCTGACATCTTCTAAGGTA